TCTACACAAAAGCATGAGGCATTACCAAGGGGCAGTACACATTGTACAAAAATAGCCCATACACGGGGTGTTGCTGTATCAGGAAAGCATCCTCAAGAAGTATAACGCACTGTTTCAAATGAGTAATTTCTGAAAAGGATTTTTAGGGCAACATCTAGATGGAAACACTTTGCTGAAAGAACGGACATCTCCTTGTTTGTACATCAGAGCTCACTACGCACCAACTCACCCAACTATTGACGGAGAGATGGGTTTGTCAAAAAACTTACCAGTCCTGGCCTTCCAATCTTTATATGTCAGCTTACCATGAATTTTGATCTTTGCATGGCTTTTCTACTTTTCTGCTTGTTGAATCATCAAGGAAAAAAGCTTTCCACCAGAAAAACAAAGGAACAAACAAGCCGAGGCCACTGGACCTAAGACAAGGTTGCCAGGAAGAACAACGATTGGATATGGCTGGAGGGACTCCATACCACTCTCTGGTGGGCAGAGCTTTTCAGCTGAGCAGCCAGCAATAAGAAAAGAGAGCCAACTTGTGAAATAAGTAGAGATGTATCACTTGGACAGGCTCCTTCCTCTCCATAACTTGTCTTCGTCTGCTGTTTCTCCCAGTTTTTGTGCATTCTCTTGAATACAAGGATAGAGGGTATGTCTTTCTAGGAATGCCTTTGTTTCCCAAAAGCAGCATAAAAAGAATAGAGTACAAAACTAGAAGAGCTCATATAGGTGGTAGTGGCACAGAACCCATACGATAGTCATTTTTTCAGCTCCACAGAGGCAGAGCGTATTCCCCTTCCCCCTTCCCTGACCTCTCCTCTAGAGTTTTCATGTGAAGACAATTCTTTGTTTCTGACCTTCAAAGCCATTAAACTCCTCAGAAAGTAAGTTCTATCTCTGTATTTTACTTTCTTTGCCACAAACAAAAGATGATTCACATTTTTAAAAAGAATTTGGGACAGTGTCTGTGAAAAACAAAGAAGGACTCTCGCTGAAATGGTATGCTAACTTGGACAGATACTGCACGCAGTCCTGCCATGTAACCTGGCTCAAAATCAGCAATGCTCAAGCTTAAATTAATTCAGTCTACAGATCTGTTTATGTGGGCATCGGTTAGAATAGGGGCAACTCTAGTTTTATCGTTTGTGCTAATACTGAAGAGAATATAACTTCTAAAACAAACGTTATCCATGCATCATCCTATCTAGTCCCAACACAAAAAGGTGCAATGAATAAGCTGATAAAACTCCTATTACTATGACACACTAGTTATAAATGCTAAAGGACACACTAGTTTTAAATGCTAAAGGTTAGCCTTTAATTAAAAATTCCTACTACTGATAGAGATCAGAGAGACAGCCATCAAAAAAATGGAAAAGCGTATTTCCCACAGAAAATACGCCTGTGGAATTAAGGGCTGATGTCGATCCAAAGTGTGGGACAGTCTCAAGAACACAAACGACACCTTTGATGGAAGAGTTCAGTAATTTGGCAACCAAAATTGTAGCCAGCAAAGATTAATTCATCTGCATAACTAATACACACAGGAAGTGAATCTGGCACTTCAGAAATAGACCAAGGCTGAGACATAGCCCTATTCTCCAACAGCTCTCTTCAGACAGGTAGTTATTTCTCCTGACAGAAGCTTAACCTCAGCTACTCCAATACGCTCCTCCACATAATAAACAGAAATTAAACCCCTGTCCGGCTGAAATCAACAGCAACTCTGCCATTGATTTCCATTGGTCATTTCTCAAGTCATAGTGATACCATTGGTTATGGGTGAATCAATTGACTGAGATGATGAAATGTATCACGTGTGTGGCACAACACAATAGAGTACAACTCCGTTAGTGATGCCTTTCACAGGTGTATGAATCCGTATGTACGAGGTACCATCTGGTACCACAAGGCACCACTTATTACACAGATGTTTCTATAGACAGGAATTATACTTTTAACTATCGTGGTGTATATACATAAAATAGAAATACAGTTCTTGGCACTATATGCGATTTTATGGTAAATAGGTCGTGACTTTTATCTTTGTGCACAATGATGTGCCTCTCTGTTTCTATGACACTTTATAAACAACATTAAGATTGAATTGGTAATGGAATCGCATAGCTCTAAGGTACATCTCCCTTATGTTTTCCGTTTCTATAGAGGAATTTTTTTATAATTCTTTTTTTTTTTTAGATGTTGAAAAAGTGTTGCTATGAGTAAGTGATATCTCTTGCTTGAGTATGAGCAAGACGTTACTATGTATTCAAGAAAACAGGTTTTTTTAACTATAGACAATATTGTAACTGCAGAGTAGGGATGGGAAAGGGAGAGAAGAAAGAGGGCGATGAGAACTAATTATTACAACCTAGCGAAGCAGCAGACACTGCTGCCCAAAGCACTTCTGCTTGGGCTAATGCACTGAATTGGACCAGCCCTTCGAACAATTTCTTCATGCAGCCTTCAAGATAGTCACCTCAAAATGCTTATAAAAGTATGAATACTCTCAAATATTGTGATACATGCCCATGTTACTAATGGAAATGTGATTGCTATTATTATAGACAGATTTAATGACTTTTCATTGCTTTTCTACATGTGGATTTTACAGGCTGACGTTGACAGCAGAGCAAGTTGTTATAGCTGGGCATAATATATCTGTCAGAAACTTTAAAAATACGACTTTTCAGTTAAAGCAGAGAATCTTTTTTACTGTGGAAGATGTACAGTTTTACGTTTTCCACTTTTTGGGGCATTTTTTGTGATAAATACGTGTTTCGGAAAACTGCTGTGAAAAAACCTGGACAGAGTGTTCACAGGTGAAGGAACATTCCAGATCAGATCCTTAGGAGCTGCACCAGGCACTGCAGGCGAAGTTCAGAGAAGAGGGATTCATCAGTGATGCTGCAGTAGCAAAAGGACCCACCTCTCACTGACAGATTTCAATCTGCCAATCTCTTGTGTGAGTGTTGTTGTACGAGGTTAGGCTCCAGCATAGCCACCCTTGCATTCAGAAAAATTATCACTGAATGCACACAGCTGCTGTCAAAACATGCAGGAAAAGATGGGAATAAATGATTATGTCAGTAAAAAACAACAGCCAGAGATCCCAGCTTCTCTAGAACTGTATTCCCAGAGGTCCTGCCTTTTTCACTAAGGGGACCTCTATCATGTTCTCTAAAATCTGCCATGTCAAAACTGTAACTACTACTAAGTGAGGTGCTAACATTCCCAAGGTAGTTTAAGAACCCCTTCATATTATGATGGGCAATGCATCAGAATTAATTAGTATGAAAGCTGGTGAGGATAAAATGATGGCTAAAACATCATTAAGAACTAGACTGAAAGGTGGTGAAAAGCCTAACAGCCGTAAGCTTTCTCTGTGACCAAGCTAAAGGAATTTGGATAAATGGAGAGTGACACAGCAAACAATTCCTTTACAAAAGACTTTGAAAAATACCTTCTACAATATTTCAAGTTGAAAAAAAAAAGGCATAAGTTGCTTACATGCAATTCATTCCAGCAAACTATTATATCCAAAAATCTCAAACAAAAGCCCTCTTCAAATATTTCAATAAGTACAGATTTCTACAGAGCAACATGAGCTTGCACTGCGTTTTAGTTATGGCACAGAGGAGACTTCCTGAATACATAGAGCCGTTTGTTGTCAACTGCTTCACAATGTACATTCATGAAAAATGTTACAGGTTAGGCACTTTCAGTATGTGGAATGTCACCTGAAAGAAATGTCATCAGAGCTGGCACTGATGTGGTGTGGGGAAAAAAATCGATGTATGTGTGGCTTGGCAGCGTTTGCAAGTGTTCAGTTCGCAACCTCAAAACTCAAGGGAGGACAGTCTGAACAAACACAGCAGGAGTCATCAGACTGTATCCTCAGCGCTACACACATAAATATCACACTGTTCCTTTCAAAACACTGTAAAACAGTACAGTATCTAGCAGAATCTGATGCTTATCTTGTCAGTGGTAACTCTCATACTGCTCCTTTAACACACAATTTTGGGAATAAATAAATAGCAGTGCCATCTGCTCCGCCCCACAAAGGACCAATTTATCAAGCCCAGCAGTAGTGGACAAACCTTGATCTGCTGTGGTGATACAATACTCACACCCCGAAGGATGAGCTCTGCTGTCATCTACTGATGAACAGCAGTGTCAAATGGTTTGCCATGCCTTGATATGGGAAAAAGTAATAATGAAACGTTTTGCACAGATGCAACTACAGAAGGAAACGACGCTTTTCAGCTCCAAATGCTGCATAAACAGCAGTAAGTACCTGATGGGAAAGTGTGGCTTATCTTTCCCTTTGCATTTAAACATATAGTTGAGAGAATGAATGTCCGACTTGACATACCAGAGGGGGATGAAAAGATCAGATTTCTTCTCACGAAACTACTTTTATGATTACTGATGCAGCAATTTGGAAACTGCGTTGATGCATATAATTCCACATTATTAAAAATACTCAGGTACAGGTTCTGCTACACAAGTTTGGTGTACTTGAGAAAGTAGTAATTATTTCATTTTTTTTCTAAAAACATACAAGTCCAAAAAGCATAGTGAGATTTTTTGAACACGCATTTTAACTAAAATGTTTTCACCACAAATTACACTTTGGTAGAATGGTAAAGAATCATTCAATTAAGTGTTTCTGTCATTTTAAAGCAAGATTTGTCAAAGTCAGAACTTCTGTTTTGTGAAAGAGTCTCTTTTGATTACACTTCTCCATGACCAGCCTGACATTGCTCTGGGAAAAGCACCTTACCACAGACAACAGCCGATTCCGACAACTAACCTGGGATGTAGGACATGCAAGTTCAAATCTCCACTGTTTCAACCTAATAGGGATTCAAATATGACTCGAGCAGTCAAGGAAGGAAAGATGTTATTCCTGCTTGCAAACAATGTTCCTTAATCACTTCTGAGGGGATTAGCTCTAAGTGCATGCAGAGTCATGCACGGGGAAATCGGTGTCTTACAGTTTTGTTCATACAAGTAAGTCTTTGCACTACTTTACTCACCATTCCATGGTTTAGCCACGCTGGTATAAAATTATCAAGCACCTTTGGGTAAACCAGTTCCCGGTCATAGCTATAGATGCTCCAAAACATCGTCACAACAAACTAAGAAGAAAAAAGAGAAAAAACAAGACATTTTAAAATATATGCTTCTGAACAATTAGCTACACATTTTGGATAGCAAAATGGGGCATTTAGCAAATGACCTATGGACAGACACAAGACATTATTGTTCTTTGACCAAATCCTGCTTTAATCAACAGTGTGAATCTGGACTATTCTTTGCATTCACAGGAGTTTTAACTTTTCTTCTTTTTTTTTCTTTTTTGACTTTCAGCCTGGAAAATATCTCAGTTTTTTACTTACATGCCTGTGGCCAAATTACAACTGAGTACTATACTTTAGTAGCAGATGTGGCACATAAATAATGTTTCACCACTAACAGGATAGAAAACAAATGGAAAATCAGGTAAAATACCACTTGGAATTCATAGAACGTATAAATATGAAACCTTCACCCCTGAACAGAAGCCTATAAACTCATCTTCGCACTTTTTCACGTCAGTCATCAAAATAGTTGTTTAAAAAAAGATTAATTAACCCTTTAACTACTCTGCAGACAATTCATGGACCGGGATCGACAGAAAAGAGGCCTAATATCCTGCTCATCTGCCCGTATGAAATTTGGCTTGGTTCTGGTCAGGGACTACTTATCAGGAGGCCAGAGAAAGACCATTATTTCCTCTAGATTGAGGACAGGAGAGATGGCTCAGATGAAGTTTACAGTAAGCTAAATTTTTGCCAAAGCATGCACAAATTCTTTAAAGATAGCCTGATGTCTGAACAACAAAGACAATATAGAACTGCAAAAATTTACACAAATAATAGCTTTAGCTTACCTGAGCTGGGGAAAGAATAGAGTAAGTAATCTGATTAAAACGCAAGTGCTTTCTTACCTTGAATTTGAGTCATAGTTTTCTAGTAATAAAAGGCTTATTGTTTACAGCAGTAAAACCCAATACCTGGGCCAGGAGCTTTTCAATGACCATTTTCAGGGGATCTCTACACAGTAGTGACAAGTCCAAGTTTAAAGTTTGAGAGGCAACAGATAGGACTTTCACTGAGATCACCAGGGAAGTATTCAGTTACACCCAAACCGATGCGGCCCATGATCTTACGGCTAATTTGGGGGGTCAGTAAAAGAAAGTGCAAGAAATATGGGGTGAGCACAGCAAGGTCAGCAAAATAGTAGTGTGTGTCACAGTGTAGGCTTAAGTTGTTTCATATGCTTCTGACTTTGTAAAGTTAAACCTGAGGTTGCAGTTTATCAATGGCACCTTGTTCTAACCACAGACATGCAGACTTCGGCCAGCCAGTTATGTGAATGACCTGAACCAGTACACTGTTCCCTCAGTGTGCATACAGTACATAGTTTCTTGGTTTCCAACACACTTGTCCATCTGTTATGATAGCTATCGGTGCCTGCTCAGAATAAGCTTGGACTATTTGACTAGTGCACAGAGGCCAGGAAAAAAAAAGGTTATGATGGACAGCCTGAAAAACATTGCAAGTGTAAAGTACCCCACAAGAAGTCTGTCTTCTGGGCCAGTCTTGGCATTGGCACAGCCTAGCTCTTTACGCACCTGCTGACATGCAAGTGCCAAGATATGAATAGCTGAACAGCAGGGAAAATGGCAGCAAAGTATCCTCTTCTCTATAGGCTTCCTAGAAGTCATGTATTAGCACAGTGGGTCTCTGAGAACCTGCTAAGACCAACTGGGACATAAAAACATATTCTCAGGAGCATGAAGACCAAGACTGATAATGCTTTTTTCCAAGGAAGTCTTACAGCAAGAAAAATCACCCAGGGTTAGGTTGAACCTTATTACACTCAATACAACAAAGCTGGCATGTTTTGACCTGCGATTTTTGTGTGGAGCAGAATAAAACAATAGACTTTGCCAAGGAGGTAAAGATAAGAAAAGAGGGGACGTGCCATCTGTCCCTTTACCAAAGTCAGCCAATGGATGGAACGGGATCAGCCTAGCTGGTTGCAACCATCTGGAGCTACAGACGGCAAATGCTGCTTAGCAAAGTACTATCACAAGGCAGACATAAGGTAAAGGAAGTGCGCAAAACCCAAGGTGTTACAGAACTAACGCATCCTGGAGGATGACCCAACATGAGAGTAACGCAACGCCCTGGGGAAGATCCCTTCCAGTGTCTGAATGGTTTGCCTTATCTTTTCTTACAATTAGTTCATTTGGATAAAATGAACTATAAAAATGAACTATTTGGATAAAAAGAACTATAATGAGGACTTGCTACTTAGCCACCTTGGCTGCTTTTGAATTTGTTTACTTTGATTAATGAGCAACTGTTGGTCTGGTACTTTCAAATCATCTCTACCATGCTTATACTTTGGTACTGGTAGACTTTTATTTGGGCTGGGCTTTTCAAGATCACATATGGTCACGCAGCACCAGACCATGATACAACTGAGCTGCTGCTTTACACTGCCTATGTAAGGCTCAATCAGAACTGCAGCTCTTACGCTCAAGCTGCCTTCGTTGTTGTTGCTCAAGCTGCCTTGCCCTCACATGCCAGGCTGAACAGGCTGCTCACATGCAGCAGACATATTTCAGGGAGTCCAGTAATTTTATTTTATTATGTTCCCAAGGCAAAATGGCACAAATGTCATGCTTCCACTTCCTCTTCAGGCAAACTTGAGGCCTTGAATTCAAGGAAGAAAACAGGCATCAGCAATCGCTTTTACACTTGTTTGCACAGGAGCCTCCTAAGATTGCCATCTTTCCGAAGACAGTGATTACTTGCTTAAACATAAGGTTAAGCAACATATTAAAGAACAGAAGAGTCCCTCATTTGCTACTTAGGCTATCCAGGGTCATTACAAACTAAAGGGAACCTCAAATTTGCAAGTAGACCTTGGAAACTGTCTGAAAATATGGAGTAGCTCACTTGTCGCAGGCATCTAAAGTACTGCTAAACAAATACATAAGAGCAGGAAAAAAATAAGGCTGAAAACAAAACTCTGTTTTCCCACTTAAGGAGATATTCCTTCAGCCTTTGACCTCCATCTCTGAAGCTTCAGAGGACATGAGAAGAGCATGTGGCACTGCCAAGGGAAAAATTTTACAGGACAAGTTGGGAAACAGTTGGTGATTCAAAAGGGAAAACAAGTGGCTTTATCAAAACACCACAAATGGAAGCAAAGAGAAACTAAGAGAGGAAAGCCGGTGAAAAGAATTGCATAATTCACTGTTTTACATGAGCCCAACTAAGAAATGTTATGCAAACCAAGAATGAACCCAGTGGAACTTTATTTTCCTGCACTATGTGTTTTTGGCTTTGGCTGGGCTGCACAGTTCAGTTCACTCATTTCCTGGATGGCCTCACAACAAAACAAAAAAAAAACCCCAATCCTTTGACCTTGACAAATCTTCTAAACACAGTTTAAGGTAAGCTTTCTGGCTATCTCCCAAGACATTTGTGGTTAGCTGCAAGCATAAATATATTGTTTGTGAGCATCTTGGAGGGTTAAAGACATTACATATAGAAGCAAAGTGCTATTAAAGGCAGACCACAGTAAGCACAAATTGGCACGGTACTGGCTTTAGGTGGGATCTAGTGCTAGCACATCATCACACCAAATAAAACTGAAAAGGGCCAATGAAGGAAATCGCAAGGAGTGGGAACTGAAAATCAGGGAAGGCTCCCCTCGAAGAACAGAGTTCAGGAGGCAATTGCACCACTGCTTGCTCATGTTCCCATCACCAGACACCATGTCACCACAGATGAGGGCAAAATCTAGAATAGAGAGATTTTGGCATGGTCAAGTCAGTTATGGAAATAAAAGTACTCCGTAGTCTGGTCAAATACGTGGTCAGTAGGTGCCTGCAACAAATGCCTACCCATCTTTTCTTGGGATAAGATTCCATCTCAGCATTATTGATGATCTACAGAAGAAGAGTGATCACTTTCCCTTTTGACTATACCAAGACAGAGAAACAAGAGATAAGAAAGCATGCCTGGCTTTCTCTCTTTTGTATCACAGGTTTTTTAAAAACATAAAAGTATAATACAAGAATATGAGATCATTCTAGACAGGTTGGGGTCACCCAAATGGAGCTGTTTGTGTTTACACAAAACACTAATTAACCACAGAAACTTGGCAACTTCATGACCTATGTCAAACAAACAGAAAAAAGTAGGGATAGTCTAAACCACTGGTGTAGTCTCTGACTTTTAAGCATGTCTCATACTTCTCTAGCAGTGTAAATTATTCCAAATATAAATCTACTTAAACACTGATAAAGGGGGGGTAACTGCAGCCAGTATAGATGAGAATTGTTAATGAACTTCTAAAATGTCCGCGCAAGTATTTTTCTTCAGCGGATGCTTCCTGATGTCTTAGGCATTTGAAGAGTACCCCAGGCTCATAATAAACTAAAAAAGGGCTAGGAAATGTTGCCCACAGACTTTCTGTGGAATAATGCTTTACTGCGTAGAAAATTGGTCTGTTGATTTCTGATTTCATTCTCTTAAGAGTCATATTAAAAAGAGCAACAATAGGTAAACAGTAGTCATTATGTCCTTCAAAGAGGTTCATGTTTATTTCTTGATGCTCCTAAACAAAATGGGAGGTTGGCAATTCAGTTTTACCTGAGCCCCTGAAGATACACTATGCATAACACAACACTGGAGAGATGTGGTTTGCCGCAAAGCTTTTGCAAGATTTGATTTGTTGCAAAGCCACCCAAGAAGGTTGTTTGCCCTTGGGCTGGTTCTTTCCCCTCCTTTGGAAGGTGGGAGGAGGTTGGTGGTCAGACTTCCCAGGTGGTTTATATGTAATACTTTTTTAGGAAGTACTAAAAATGAAATACTTTATTTTGTTACTTTTTTTTTTCACACATCATTGTTTGACTTGGGAGTGGAAACCCCTTTTCTCATCTGTTTTTCAGAACAAGTCATCTCCAGGGCTTCAGCAAGCAGGAAATACAGAAAAAATTGTGTTGAATTGCTCTTGAAAAACTACAGTTAGTGGACTTTAAAATGTTCCCCTAGTATTTGCATTACTCCCTAAACATGCTCTGTGTAAAACACTGAGCAATAAAAGTAATTTAGTTGTTAAGGTAACTGACAAGTACTTAAGCATGACCACTGCTGTTACATTAGAAACCCAACATGGATTTTATTCACATCCGTCCAATCTTTATGTGTGAAGGTTCCCTTGTGTTGCTACTGGAAACCACTGAGAAGCTCCATGGAGAGCTAGGTGTGTTAGTCTCAAAGAAAGAAAATCTGCATTTGAACTTCTTTGGGGTTTTGGAGGGTTTGGGGGGGGTTGGAGTGAGGAAGCTGTTGAGAGAATACAGGAAATGAAGGAACTTTAACTTTTTTTCTGCAGACACTCTGTTTTTTAATAGCTTCCTTCTAACAAGCACCTCCGGCATACCAAAATTTCACTGGGTATTTTCTTACACATAAATAGCTCTTTAGAGAACAAAGCCAGCGTTAGACGTTTGCTACTTTCAGGCCCTGAACTTTTCCTACATGTAATCTCACCGAAGAAGAGCCCCCAGTGGCTGGCAGTACCTCAGGCACTGGCCAAGGCTTTGGCAAGTGGTAGCTGCGGTGTGGTGGGCGCTGCTGGAAAGGATCAGTTTTCAGGAAGGAGCTGAGACCAGTGTTAAGTTATGAAGTGCTGCTGTTTGTCTCCCAGTAGCCAGGAGAAGAAACAAGAATGAAAACAACCTTTTTAGGCTTTCATTGTAAGAAATGAAGTAATATGTGGTAATCAATTGTTCCCCTCACCACAGAAACGTTACTTTTGGAAATGGAGAGCATCTGTCCAATGAGCATGACCATTTCTTACTATTTCCTGGATTTTGTTTTAAGACAGAAGTTGTTTCTCTATGAAATCCTTGGGAAAGCAGCTAGCTCCAGGTATGCAACACGTCTCTTGGGAACTGCTAACTTGTAAATATTGCAACAGTACTTCTAGTGCAGGCAATGGCTAGCTGAGATGCCTACCTTACCAGTGGCAAAAGAAACAATGCCCAAAAGAAAAGCACAGAATTGACAAGAAAAAGTGAAGATCAAATTCTCCAAGATCTTGAAAAGTTTCAAGGTCAGACCACACTTCCATGTAAAAACCCATGAAATACGGGATTTTTAGTTGCTTTCAGTGTGTGGATGAGACATGTAAGAGACACTTTTTGCCACTGAAAGTAATGTGCCATGTCCCAGTGGAGCAGGACCTCATCCAAAGAATAGTTTTCTTTTGAGAAAGGCATGTAAAAACCACATTTTTCCATACCTTCTGTGTGCTTTTTTACATTACTGACAACCCCCTTTTTTTCCTACCCTCTTTCTTCTGTAAGCTCTGAATCCTCCATAGGATTAACAGGGAGCACCTTGAACTTTTGTTTGCCTTCTTGCCTGTGACAAAATGGCTTTCAGCCCAAACAACAGTCAGGTTGTTACAGTGTGAAACATGCCACAGTTAGCACTTTCACTACTCCTGACGATGGCGCATGGTGCAGAAAAAGTCCAAATTGACTCTCAAGACGCTGCTGGCACAATTCACATTTGCAATGACTTGTACAATCAAGTTCCTATCATAAAACACATTTTTTTTATTGAACCAAAATAATTTCAGCAACACCAGTGCTCCCTTACACCTGTGAAAAACAAAAGAGTAGTAAAACAATCTCTACCATTTTTTCCTTGCTGCAGTCTTTTGCGTAGAGGTGGGAAAGCCTTTCAGCTAGAAAACAATCAGTAAATAACACTGCTCACTCAGTTTGTAAAGACACGCACAGATTAACGCTGTACTTACCATTCCAACAGGGAAAGCTAGAACAGCCATCATCCAGTCACGGAGGGAAATGAGTTTTTTCAGCTGCCTCTCTTGCTCTTGACTGTCATTTCCTTTAGTGAGAAGACTGGACAGGTCGGTCAAGACGCAGATCCCGAAGAAGACAGCCTGGATAACCTGGGTGGAAGGGGAACACACTCTTGAACACAGAGAAGACCAGACCTTTGGCAGAGAGCAGGTCGGACACAGGCACGTGTGAGGAATATTGCCACGGAATTGACATGGGGAGTGGGAAAACATCAGTCCCAGGAGTGGGAAAACATCAGTTCCTTAAATATGGGTAGGGTTTGTTCATATGAAAGCCAGTTCTGCTTCTAGACTGAAAGCCCTGCATGCACCTTGCTCCTCCTGTATGGTGGGACTTGATGCGAGTGGAAGGACCATTCCAGAGCCGAGACTTCCCACCCTCACCTCAGACATGTGTCACCCGCTGTGGCCTGAGCTGCAGCCACCCCTTCCCGCTTCACCCCATACAACTCAGCCCCAAAGCCATAGCATTCACCCCTGAGGCGAAAAGAGTGAGCAAAGTTCCCTGTAAAAAGAAAGGAAAGGAAAAAAGACGAGCCGTTCTTTCTCTTGTGCCAGGACATCTCCCTTGGAGTCCCTGTCTGCCCCAGACCCTCTACCCAGAGGCGAAGAAGGTATCTGAGACTCCCTGAGAGATGCAGCACACGGCCTGGACTTTAGCAAATCTATCACTACTTCATCTCACATAGCGAATGACAGTGCAAGCAAGCTGCAGAAATTATTCAAGGTTTCTTTTCGTGATGGCAGACTGTCATTTATCTGCATTTTCCTTTTTGCATTTACGTATTTGTGTGCAATATCACAAAATTATCTGTTATATTAAACCAGTAGTTTAATTACCTGAACCCACTGATTCGGTTCAAACTTGACTTGATCTTAGTTTGATCACTGTATTTTTCTTCCTTAATTAGCTCAGTAAAATTGTAGTAAGTTAGCTCAGGAATGTTCTTGCCTGAGGACCTGCACATCCTTTCTAGTACAGTTCGGAAGAAGTACACGCAGCTTGTTTACTCCTCGAGCTGAAAGCCCGGGTCACAAACCCACACACATCAGGTAATCTCAGGTAAAAAACACGGGCCTGGTTCCCAAATTGCACAGTGATTCATCAAAAACCATAAACATATGCTTTAAATACACATGTTTTTCAAAGGAAGCATGGAGTACTAGTTTAGAAGTCTTATGTGTAAATCTAAGTGTTCGTCCGACTAGGAGTCTCTGACTAAGCAGCAGACCATCCATAAGAAATAAGAATAGCACATACTCAGACTCTGCAAAATAGAATTTATTATGTGCATACATCTTTGCAGAATTTAGACTATAACAAGTAATGTAAAAAAAACCCCTTAGGCTAGGGGACACTGATCTGGAATACGGTAGGGGAGGGAGGGGAGGAAGGCAGGGGCAGGGGTAGGGGCAGGGGAGAGAGGGAGGCAGGAAGGGAGACGGGTGGGAGAAGGGAGGGAGGGAGGGAGGGAGGAAGGAAGGAAGGAAGGAAGGAAGGACCAAACAGATGTTGGCTACTAGAAAGGAATCCATAGATGTGTAATGGTTGGATGGATTAAAGTATATTCCCTTCCTCAACAATCCTTATATGACCCAAATACTTGCAAATTCTGGCTGTAAAGCTGTGAACGACAGATGTTCAAATGGCCCCTATATCTGCTTGCAATTCTGCTGCCCTTGCTCCCCCCTCTCCAGACTGCAGCTACACATAATTTGCTTGATAAAGAGATGAAGCAACATTACAAAACATTCCCTGAAGCCACAAAATGTGACAGACTACTAGTGCTAGAGCTGTATATTGTTTTAGAAAAAGGTATTACTACTTCAAATGACTGCCTGGAAAAGTTACCATCTTCTACATAATATCTGAAAAAACAATTTATATAAAAGTTGTGGCTCCTTGGAGCTACATAATCACTAATGCACTTTTTCGTATTATTTTCTTAAAACAACCCCTTAGTAGAAAAAAATGTTCCCATACTCAGCCCTGTTTTCCACCAAACAGATGGCCTGTTTGGAGAGAAGGAACAGAAGAACTAATTACGCATTTGCTTGACTTAAGAGGAGGTATGATACCATCTACTATTCACTCAAGAGTGTGAATGCCAAAGAAGGAAAACGATTTAAGACAGGACTGGAAAAAAAGTATACCTAACAGTAATGAGATCAATCTGGGTGTTAAAGTTTAGGCTGAGTACCAGGAAATATTTCCTAACAGTGAGCTCTGTCAGACCATGAAATAGTTTGTCAGAGGAAGTGGTGGAAGCCTCATGGCTTGAGTCACTCAAACCGATATTGGACAAAACACTCAATAATGTACTGCAGGGAACAGTATTACGCTGGCAGGGCTTGGACAAGTGACTAATGGATTGTTTGCAGCTCTAACTATGATTCCTTGAAACGGTCTCTCTCCAAAGAAACATAGACTCAAACAATCACACGCCCACTTTCCAAGGGAATTGAGATTGTACATCCACTAATCAATCACAAACCAAACAGCTTCTCTCCCCGTTACCCTGTTATGAACACACCGCTTCAAGGGAAAATATAGTATCTTCGGGAATAACTGAAAACTCCTAAAAGGAAAGAAAGTATCCAAAGATTTCAGAGAGTAGGTATGAAGTAAACTGTTCTACAAAAAGATTAACAAACAAAAATCAATACAGGAAAGAGAAAATTACATATTTATTAAGAACATTCAGAGCCAATGAAAAAATCATACAGTGTTCAGGGAGGAACAGTTTCAGCTTATTCATACAAATAAGGTACACACACTTACTCTAATATTTCCTGCCCTTTCTAGAATTGCAAGAAAACTCTTCTGACACCTATCAACATTTAGGACTAGACTGAGGACCTCCAAAGCTGCATGTGTCTCAGCAGCATAAACTGAAGAGCCAGAGTCAGTAACGATTTATGTCCTTCATGGGTCTGGCATAGGAAAGGTGTAGCAGGCAGCTACTGGTGGTTTATGGTATGAAACCAATTTCTAAAGTCCATGCTCCTCGGTGTGAATGCTGCCTAACAGATGTGAAAAGTTCACAGTAGAAACTCCCTCTAAACAATATTCTCCAAAGTGCCCTGGTGTTACCATGGATTTAGGATCACATTTTCAAAACAAGGACCTTGTTTTGAAAATCTTCAGGTGGTGAATCTACACATGAAGCATATGAAGCATCCCATAGATGTTAAACAAACAGTTCAATTCTTTTTTATATTTCCCCTTGGAAATATAAGCAGTAACAGCAGTTCAGAAAAATATCTTCCAATTTTGCCTCTAACTAGAGTCTAAAGGAAAACAGTGATTTAGAACGACAAATACAAATTTGATAGAAAAGAGAGATACCTTTGTTATACCATGTAACAGTGACAGAGGCAGAAACTTGTAAGCAGAGTACGCAAACCCAGAAAATCATTAAAACAGGTATAAAATACTAACCTACTGCTGACCCCATTTTCTTCATAGAAGCCTAGAGGGGTCACTGCTACTATAGTTGATACTACAGTACCCTTAAGCTGTGATAACACAACAACAAGTAATGGAAATGGCCATCTACAGGTATTTTAGTAATTCAAAACTCTGAGCAGAGAAAATACTTGTTAAGTTGCTGCAGGAGAAAACAGCTATGAACAGAAGACGAAACTAAGCAGCCCAGAAACCTTCTCAAAAAGTGAGATCTATTCAGATAATATATCAGAAAAGATTGTTCCTTATGACCGATTAAAACAAAGTAAACTAAATGTACATGTCTATCTCCTACAAGAAAATAAAGACTTGCTTCAGTAGGACAGTTTTTCCACAAGGTGCTCACTGCAGGATAGCAGCTAATGACCTCCCTATACTCCCCCTAATTTAACTTCTTAGAGTCAGACAGAAAATCTCCTCATAAACCTTTCTTCAGGACATGGAGACTCCCTTCTCTCCTGTGCCGTGGGGCTCCACAGTGAAGATGAAATCTCTGCACAACTGAGGTCAATGGAAATTCTGTCGCTACTCTTACCAAGGCAGAAAACTCCCATTAAGTTCACAGAATCTAGGATTTCATTGCTCGTGGACTCATCCACTTTCAAGCTCACTCTTGTAATCAGAAGCATTCCTTATTGCTCTGGGCAGAAGAACTGGAAAAGTCTGTGCAAGCACTACTATTATTCATGGGTATTTTTTCCTCTATCTACCTTTGAAAATGGAGAATTCACTGTCCTCAAGTTGTCATTTTTGAGATTAACAGCACTTACAAATTATTTCATGCACCCCTCTATGAAATAAGGCATCTGAGTAGGCTGGCAAGTAGACAGTGCTGCCAGAATAAAACATGGGAGTAACGCTAACAAAATCAGCAAGAAATAACAAAAGAGCATGGAAAATTAAGTAACTCTTACACATTCCAAAATGCCATGTTTGCACATGAAGTGCACGCGCGTACGCGCATGCACATGTATCAGGTACCTGTACCTCCCTTATCCAAAATGCCATGTTTGCACATGAAGTGCACGTGCGTATGCGCGTACGCGCACGCACATGTATCAGGTACCTGTACCTCCCTTACCAGGTGAGCTTCCACTGTTTCAAGGTAAGACTGCATTTAAGAAAGAGACTTAGGAGTCTGCAAATATAACCCCTATTATAGGAAGGCTAATTCACACCAGGCTGTCAGGGAGGCCTGGCTGACCCCTGGGTGCTGAGAGTGGTGGGGGTGGGGCAGCCAAGGCCCTTCCCACCCCCAGCCAGGAGCAGGACAGCCAAGGGCACGGGGGCAGTCCCAGCCCCAGGCATCAGGCACCTCCTTGGGGATGGGCCACCAGCCCACGGGTGGGGGGCAGACATAACCTGACTCATCACAGCAATACTCACACTTAAGACAACCCGTAGCTTTCCACAGGAAGATGAAAGTTTAGCACTACCTGCATGCAAAATCAAATTGCTGTAAATTGTCATTTCTCGCGTATTTCAGATTTTACAATCTGCCAGGTACAGAATGTAGTCTGATTTTCCTTTTCAAACAACACCTGATTCATAGCCTCTGAGTATCTGTTACTACTCCTTGTCACCTTGTGTCATGTTAGCTTTCGTTCTTATAGCCTCCAGA